TATATGGCCTCTTCGGATTAGAAAGAGCCTTACCAATCGAAAATTTTTCGTATAAAGGCTTAATGGTGTTCTTAGAAGGCGCACTTCTCACATTTTTTAATGTTTTAAAAGCACGTTGAGTTTTCACAATTGACTTCTTCTGTGAAATGTAAATTTGCGAATATTGGTTCATGGTAAAAATCTGCTTGGACTGACGCTTCAAACGCGGTATGTCATTAAGCGATGTGACATCTCTGTCAAAAGTTATGGCATTGCCAGATGGGTACGTCGAATATGGGCAACCCTGTACATCTCTAACTGATTTCGGGTTAATTGTGCACAAATGGCCAATATCAGTCCAAATGACCTTAATTTTGGTAATTCCGACTCAATTCATTCCAGAAAGAAGTATTTCAAATTTGTTAAAAATCGGTTCAGATATGGATATATCTCCCATATCTATCTGTAACCGAGTTTTGGTAAATTGTGCACCAAATGGCCAATATCATTCCAAATGACCTGAATTTTAGCACATCCGACAGAATTCAGTCTAGAAGCAAGTACATCGAATTCGGAGAAAATCGGTTCAAATATAGCTATAGCTCCCGTATATGTGTTTCTTCCGATATTGGTGTTTAAGTCCCGCACATGCGTAATATGAACTCCACAAAAATAATATTTGGTACCAGATATTTTGTAGAGCTCGGAAATACCTTTGCAAAATTTTATCGAGATAGAATCAGATTTGGATATAGCTCCCATAAATATCTTGAAACGATTTCGTGATAATTGTGCACCAAATGACCAATATCAGTCCAAATGACCTGAATGTTGGCACAAAGGACCGACTTCAGTCTGGAAGTAAGTACGTCAAATTTGCTGAAAATCGGTTCAGATATTGCTATAGCACGCATTTATATATTTCTTCCGAATTGGTTTTTAAGTCCCTCGCATTCGCATAATGCACTCCACAACAATGTTATTTGATACCAGACATCAGATATGTTTCATCCGATTTTGGAGATTAAGTTCCTCACATTCGTAATATGCACTCGAATAGAGCTCGAAAATACCTCTGCCAAATTGCCTCAAGATCGGTTCAGGTTTGGATATAGTTCCCATATATATATATATATATATATATATATATATATATATATATATATCTTTAAACGATTTCGGGTTAATTGCACACCAAATGACCAATTTCAGCCCAAATAATCTGAATTTTGGCACATCCGACTACAAGAATATTCAAGGATACTGTTGCGAGTGACCTTAATATGTAATCAGGCTGACTACATAGAAATTCTAGAATGCGGTCTGAGAAGACCTTAATGACAGGTATGAAAAAACAACAACCAACTTCAGACTGCTGTCGTTGCTAAGCCACTCGTCCGACAGCTGTTAAAATTATTCCAATGACAGCTCATTATATTGTTTACAAGCGTACAAAAGCATTTTGGTGAGAATTTTCCAGAATAAAAGTTATACGCGATGAAGGAGTTGCTTCGCTTGGTCGGAAGTGGTAAACTGCTGAATTTAGTTTTCTCCGATGAGAAAACATTCGTTGTCCAGCAGAACAGTTTGTAAACAAACAAAATGATCGTGTTTACTTGCCGAAGAGGTCAGCTGAAAATATACATCTTCGGTTGGCCACCAGAACTCAAGCCCCGGCCATGGTGATGGTGTGGGCCCTCAGAACAGCCGATTGTCGCTCTCCGCTCGTATTAATCGACCGTGGCATCAGAACAAATGCCGAATATTCTCGCGAAAATATTCTGGAGGGCACGCAAACATTTTGGCCACAGACCTTGGACATTCCAACTGGGTCTCAGCACCATTGCACTCAGCACGCGCCACTCCAGAATGGTTAGAAAATTAGGTTTCTCGCTTCATTTCCAGTGCACAATGGCCACCAATACCTCCGGATACCAATCCGTTGGACTATTGTGTCTGGAGTATTTTGGAAAGCAAGGTTGGCACTAAAACATACCAAAATGTCGATTACCTCAAGCAAGCGCTTCGGCGGGAATTGGCCAAAATACCGCAGAGCAACATTCGGGCAGCGTGCGACGTTTTCATTGGCCGTTTGAAGGCCATAATTCGTGCCAAAGGTGACCAATTTTATGTCTTAAGCTGTAGTATCCATTTCGAACATCAAATTCGAAATTTGAAACAATTCTGGTGAATAATGTCGCTAAAATCATCAAAATACCGAATATCGGGAGGTACCGTTATATGGGGACTATACGAAGACGTGGACCTGCACAGACAATTTTCTGTCTTAGGCTGTAGTATCTATTACGAACTTTAAATATCAAATTTGAAACAATTCCGGTGGAAAATGTCGTTATAACCAACAAAATACCGAATATCGGAAGGCACAGTTATATGGGAGCTATACCAAAACGTGAACCTACATGGCCCATTTTCAATACCAAAAGTCCTGCAGACATAACATACATTTGAGCAAAATTTTGTCAATCTACTTCAATTCGTTCGGAAGCTAGAGTAATTTCCACAGACGGACGGACATCGCGAAATCGACATAGAATTTTATGCTGATCAAGAATATATCTACTTTGTGGGGTCTAAAATGTATATTTCGAGGTGTTACAAACGGAGTGACAAACTTAATATACCCTCCGTACTATGGTGGCGGGTATAAAAACCTTAAACAAAGCAAGATAAGCATCCAGCCCTCGTCAAATCTCAACACACATCCAAATATTTTTGCTAACGCAAGATCTCTTGTGAATATGATATACATCTGTTAACCCTTTCTGGTACCTCAACCACAGAGGGTCACAATTTCCAATACTCATAGCTGTCATATCTTGCGAAACAAGTCGCCGATTCTTTACAACTTGCTATATCTAAATAATTCTCTTAACCAGAAATCTGATATGAATATGATATGAAATCGGAATGAATGCCACTCCATAGCTTGAAATGGTTTCCTTTGACAGCATATCATAAACTAGTGGGCGGCATTACAAAGGCTATTGGAAGAGTAGTGATAGGGAACCACCTGTTAGTTGTGGGCTAGATTTTGCTTGGTCATAAATAATGCAATAAATTAATCTATGCCGAAATCATTTGATATATTCGAAAGTAGGAACATGACAACCTGAGGTCTTAGAGTTAAGAAGAAATTATGAATAACCTAAGTTCTAGAGAATTTTTCAGAGCATCAGAACATCGTCTATTCACTTTCTTCGTCCCCGAAAAAAAAACAATATTATAATTAATCCATAGATGGCAAATTTTATCTTTGAGTGGCGTTGATGGTATTCTGGCGTGTGGTTCTGGGTGTGGTTCACTCACGACCGATATACAGTGAGTCACAGTCAAAAGTATCCACTTGTGTTTTTATACCCTCCACCATAGTATGGAGGGAAATGTACATTTAGACCCCACAAAGTATATATATTTTTCATCAGCATAAAATTCTATGTCGATTTAGCGATGTCCGTCCCTCTGTCCGTCTAACCGTCTGAGGAAATCACTCTAGCTTACGAACGTAATGAGGTAGGTTGATAAAATTTTACTCAAATGTATATTATGTCTGGAGTACTTTTGGTATCGAAAATGGTTCACGTTTTGGTATAGCCCCCATATACCAGCACCTCCCGATATTCGGTATTTTGATGATTTTAGCGACATTATTCACCCGGAAATGTTTCAAATTTGGTATTTAATGTTCGTAATGGACACTACAGCTTAAGACAGAAAATTGTTTATGCAGGTCCACGTCTTCGTGTAGACCTCATATAACGGTACCTCCAGATATTCGGAATTTTGATGATTTCAGCGACGTTATTCACCGGAATTGTTTCAAATCTGGTGTTTGAAGTTCGTATTGGATATTACAGCCTATGACAGGAGATTGTCTGTGCAGGTCCCCGTCGTCGCATAGCCCCCACGTAATGGTACCTTCCGATATTCGGTATTTTGATGATTTTAGCGACATTATTCACCGGAATTGTTTCAAATTTAGTATTGGAAGATCTTAATGGGTACTACAAACTATGTTAAAAAAATCTCGTATGCAGGTCCACGTTTTCGTATAGCCCACATATAATGGTACCTTCCGATATTCGATATTTTGTTGATTTTAGCCACATTATTCACCGGAATTGTTTTAAAGTTGGTATTTGAAGTTCGTAATGGATACTACAGATTAGTACAAAAATTTTTCCATGCAGGTCCACATCTTCGTATAGCCCCCATATAACGGTACTTCCCGATATTCGAAATTTTGATAATTATAGCAACATTTTTCACCGGATTTGTTTCAAATTTGGCATTTGATATTCGTAATGGGTACTTCAAACTATGGCAAAAATTTTCGTATGCAGGTCCATGTCTGCGTATGGCCCCCATATAACGGTACCTCCCGATATTCGGTATTTTGATGATTTAAGCGACAATATTCACCGGACTTGTTTCAAATTTGAAATTTGAAGTTCGTAATGGGTACTACAGCCTATAACAGGAGATTGTCTGTGCAGGTCCACGTCTTCGTATATCCCCCATATAACAGTATCTCCCGATATTCGGTATTTTGATGATTTAAGCGACAATATTCACCGGACTTGTTTCAAATTAAGCATTGAAAGATCTCAACGGGTACTACAAGCTATGGCAAAAATTTTCGTATGCAGGTCCACGTCTTCGTATAGCCCCCATATAACGATACCTGCAGATATTCGGTATTTTGATAATTTTAGCTACATTATTCACCGAGTTTCAAGTTTCGCACTTGAATATTGTAATGGGTTATGACAAAAGCTGCCTGTGCAGGTCCACGTCGTCGTATAGACCATAATACATCAGCTACATTCGGTACTTCTAAAATGTTAATATAATTTTCAATGGATTTTATTTTTTTTGAAAATTGCCAAATTCGTTGCAAACCACTTTTACTTTAACTAATCTATTCTAAGACAAATAATACTAATAATGACAGAATGCAAATGCTTTGTTCTATTTTGAAATTGTTGGCAGCTACTTACCGTTACTAGTAAAACACATTTCAACTCCTTCGGCACAATCTGCCGCCACTATTTTCGTGTAGTCCAGGCAATTTTGATCATCATTCGAACTGCACTTTAGACATTTAATAGCTGGCCAATGAAGCAGAAAAAAAAACGATATTTTTACTTAAAGTCCACAAAATCTGCAACAAAACATCAGACAACATACCTCCTACCCGGGGCGTCAGCGATGCAAATACCAGTAATATTCCCAGACATCCATATGTGGCGATTCCCTTCGGCAAATACATGTTCAGGGGCTTTTGTGTTTATCAATTATTCAGCTTTATCGATAGTTCGGCAAAGTGCTTGGTTAAAGTACAACAACAGCAAGAGAGATACAACAACAACAGCAACAACAATTGTGGGTTATAAAATATTCCGATATTTGTTGTTAACACTTCTATGGACAAATTTGAACTGCAATCCAGGTGGGCTATGTGAAATAATGTTATATACCTCGACTAGTTAGTTAGTCAGTCAGTCAGTCAGTCGAGTTGGTGTTATCAAAGGAACAATTGTTTTGTGACTGCTCTTCGGCCGAGCGAAAGAGAAAATTGTATTCAAGGGTCTCTCTTATGTGCCATATTGGAAATTTATGTGAGCGGAAGGCAGGAAAGGTTAATTGGAAAATTGCGACTTGGCAAGTTTAATTATTTTTACATGGGGCTGGGATGGGGGTGATATCTCGCACCAGCCTCTGCTTAATTACGTTTTGTTTACAACTCTGTAAAAGGGCCAGCAGGGGGATCTTATCATCATAAATGAGTTTTATTTTAGTCTATCTCCCAGTACAATCGAGTCACCCAAATCGGAGGAGGGTTTTAATATACTATCCATATTTACTTCAATATTAATATGAATAACAGGAGTTTTGGTATTGAAAATGGGCCACATATCCACGTTTAGGAATAGCCCCCATAAAACAGTACCTCCCTATATTCGGTATTTTTGATGTTTTTGGCGACATTTCTCACCGAAATTCTTTCATATTTTGTATTTGCAATTCGTAATGGATACTACAACCTATGACAGAAAGTTGTCTGTGCAGGTCCACGTTTTGGTATAGCTCTCATATAATAACTCCCGATATTCGGTATTTTGATGATTTTAGCGACATTATTCACCGGATTTGTTTCAAATTTGGTATTTGCAATTCGTAATGGATACTACAGCCTATGACAGAAAATTGTCTGTGCAGGTCCAAGTTTTCGTATAGCCCCCAAAAATCCGTTCCTCCCTATATGCAATGTTTCGGAATTTTTTTACATTTCGTATTTGAAATTCGTACCGGATTAAACAGTTTGTAACGGAAAATTGGTTATGCAGGTCCACCTCTTCGTATAGCCCCTAAATATCGGTACCTCTCGATATTCGATATTTTGATGATTTTAGGGAAATTATTCACGGGAAATCTTTCATATTTCGTGTTTGAATGTTCTCATAGGTACTACAGTGTATTACAGAAAAATGTCTATGCAGGCCCAGGCTTCAGTATAGCCCCTAAATATCGGTACCTCCCTTTATTTTGATGATATTAACTTCATTATTCACGATGTCCGTCCGTCTGTGGAAATCACTCTAGCTTCCGAACGACATGAGGTAGGTTGATACAATTTTACTCAAATGTATATTATGTCTGCAGGACTTTTGGTATTGGAAATGGGCCATGTAGGTCCACGTTCTGGCATAGCTTCCATGTACCTCATATTTTTTTCTTTTTTTTTGTTCTGTGGCGGTGTAAGTTCTTATACTTTTTAGAATTTTAATGGCTTTACCCCGAGCTCATTTTTCAATATTTGCCGAATGGAATATTGCGACATGTTCAGCTCACGAGCCATTTTTCGGCCACTGCGCCGCGGGTTTCGATCAAGCTGATGTTGCTGTTTTCTTCCGTCCACTTCCTTGACGTCGGGCTACGCTACCAGTATCACGGTAACGAGCGATGGCACGAGACACAAAAAATTTATTCACATTTAAATGCTGGAGTGCTCTAACGATAGCCACTTGTGGTTTTCTAGTCAAATATAAAGTAATCACACTATCACGCTTGGATTCCATCACGAATAAAATTTTTTCTGGAGAATGCTCACCTAAATGCTTTTGTACACTTGTAAAGAATATAACGAGCTTTCACTGGAATAATTTTAAAAGCTGTCGTAAGAGTGGCTTGGCAATGACAGCAGTCTGAAGTTGGTTGGCAGTTTTTTCATCTCACCCTGTATAGTACTAGTGCCAAAGTTAATAGTAAGCCAGTAGTGACATTTCCCACAGGTCGGTCTACCATCCATGATTTACATATGCTCTGTTCCCGAACCTGTATTAATGTTGTAATATTTTTCGATATCATAAATGGAAAATCTATTATCGCAGTAAAAAGCTTTAAATTCGTGCAGTTCTGTAATAGAGCAATAAATAAAAAACCAATTCAAATACGAAACAAGAGGGAGAAAAAAAGCTAAAATAATTTTATTATTTTTGGGTACCAAATACCCACTAATTCGGAATCTCTTAATTAACATAATAAACAACTGAGAGCATAGCCATAATAAGACCCATAAAAATGCCAATACTTTGGGCGCCAGATGAGGATTTTTCCGTATTACAGTTTGCTGTGTGGCACAATTTGCACTGATTGTTCGTGGCATCGGCACAGGTGGCCTTAGTTTTGGCATCGGCATCAATGTAACAGCCACGTATGGCAACGCTATCTATAATTGTGAGTAATGAAGTCGAGAAAAATAGAGAGAGAGAGAGAGAGAAAGAGAGAGAGAGAGAAAGGGAGAGAGAGAGTTAGAATTAATATTTAATGAGAATTATCGCATCTTGTTCTCATTCAACTTACTCCAAACACCATGGAAACAACCATCCTCGGGAGAGCTATCACCAGTTCTACACTTCTGGCCAGTAAATTTGGTGGCATCATTCCAGCAGTCCTTGTTCTCATCGCTGCGACAAACAATGCATTGGAATTCGGTTGGTAAGGAAATGTTATTGGTATTACAGCCGGTTTCAGCATTTCCCGTACATTTCAGGCAATTGGGGCTATTGCAGGCCTGATCCTTGGCAAGACAGCCTCGTGTGACAACTGTTCCATCTGGGAAAAAAAAAACAAAAATTATTTGACTATATATCACAACAAAGAAGCAAATCTTGGTCGGAATGTTATAAAGTAATGAAAATTTAAGGTCTTAATCGATCGAGAAGGGGTTTTCAATTTTTGGAAAAATGGTTGACAACTAACAACTGCCAGAGAGAGAGAGAGAGAGAGAGGGAGAGTAATCGTCGATGAAGTAAGACCATATTTAACGATGGATGTGATGTTTCAGTAAGTTTTAAGTTTTTATACCCTCCACCACTCTATGGAGGGTATATTAACTTTGTCATTCCGTTGGTAACTCCTCAAAATATTCATATTCATAATAGACCCTACAAAGTATATATATTCTGGATCAGCGTAAAATTCTAAGACGATCTAGCGATGTCCGTCAGACTGTTGTAGTTACGCTATCTTTGGAACGAATTGAGATAGAAGGCTAAAATTTTGCATACATGCATAGTTTACTAATAGGCAGGTTAAGTTCGTAAATGGGCCAAGTCGGTCCACGTTTTCGTATAGCCCCCATATAACGGTACCTGCCGATTTTCGGTATTTTGATGATTTCAGCAACCCTATTCACCGGAATTGTTTCAAATTTCCTACTGGAAGATCCTAATTCATACTACAGCCTATGCCAAAAATTTTTGTATGCAGATCCTCGTTTTCATATAGGCCCCATACAACGGTACCTCCCGATATTCGGTATTTTGATGATTTAAGCGACATTATTCATCGGAATTGTTTCAAATTTGATATTATAAGTTCCACAGGGATACTACAGCCTATTATAGAAAATTGTCTGTGCAGATTCACTTCTTCGTATAACCCCCATATAACCGTACCTCCCAATATTCGGCATTTTGATGATTTCAGCGACATTAATTACCGGAACTATTTCAAATTTAGTATTTGAAGTTCGCAATGAATACTGCAGCCTATGACAGAAAATTGTCTGTGCAGGTCCACGTCTTCGTATAGCCCACATATAACTGTACCTCCCGATATTCGGTATTTTGATGATTTTAGCGACATTATTCACCGGAATTGTTTCAAATTTGGTATTTGAAGTTTGTAACAGATACTTCACCCTAAGACGGAAAATGAGCCATGTAGGTCCATGTCTTCGTATAGCCCCCATGTAACGTTACCTCCCTATATTCGGCATTTTGATGATTTTAGCGACATTATTCCCTGGAATTGTTCCAAATTTGGTATTTGAAGTTCGCAATGAATACTACAGCCTATGATAGAAAATTGTCTGTGCAGATTCACTTCTTCGTATAACTCCCATACAACCGTACCTCCCAATATTCGTTATTTTGATGATTGTAGCAACATTATTCACCGGAATTGTTTCAAATTTGGTATTTGAAGTTCGTAATGAATACTACAGCCTATGACAGAAAATTGTCTGTGCAGGTCCACTTTTTATAGCCCCCATGGTACCTCCTTATATACGGTATTTTGATGATTTTAGTTACATTATAAACCGATTTTTTTTAAATTTCGCATTTGAATATTGTAATGGCTTGTGACAAAAGTTGCCTATGCAGGTCAACGTCGTCGTATAGACCCTAATATACGGCTACATTCGGTATTATTTTAGGATTTTAACAGAATTTTTATCGGATTTAATTTTATTTGAAAATTGCCAAATTTGATACCAAATGTTGGAGGGTATTCAAAATTCGCCCCAGCTTCAGCTTTTTTACTTGCTATATTTTTTTAAATTTCTCGTTTTTTACGGAAACCATACCCAGCTAAACATTTGAATAAGTGCTACTTGAAATAAGTTGTAAACCACTGCAGAAGAAGTAATAAAAAATTCACACATCTTCGATCACCCTGTATTAATCCTAGTTAAGGACCATGATTATCGTTGGCCAAAGTCTTGGACCATAATCTCACGCCTGGTTTTTTAGCGTCAGTGGACGAAAGGTCCGGCTGTCTAGGGAAATAATTGCATCCGGCTTTCTGCTGCGCCCTGTCTAAACCTTAAGAATTAGCATAAATTTCCATTTGATATTCTTTTATTAACCACAGTTGTGAAATATCCATTGTTCCGATGTTAATCGACAAATGTTTTCCCAATTTTTACGAATTATTAACTAACTATTACTTATCTTCAAATTATTATCTCTTATACCAGCAGCGATAGGGCATTTGTCTAATCGATTAGCTAGGCCGGAGTGACTCACCCAACGCGATTTGTTGTGTTGATTTGTTTGTGTTCAAAGGTCTTTTATCCGCCTTAGATATGATAAGTGGTCTAACGATGATAATTAAATACGGAATTTTTGCACGCCCCCGAACTATTGAGGAAATTGTGAATAGTAACGTTTTTTCGACCTGAAATCAAAAACATCGCACAAAAAACATCTGATTAGGAAAAAATCCCCAAGCTACTCTTAAAATTCGCACAAAAAGATTTCGAAGCGATGGCGGAGAAAACCAAAAACTGCAATGGATCAAAAAAACAATTAAAAAAGCTTTAAGTTCGGCCGGGCCGAACTTTGAATACCCTCCACCATTTGGTACAAATGTAACAATTTTCAAAAAAAAAATAAAATAAAATCCGTTAAAAATTCTATTAAAATCTTAAAAATACCGAATGTAGCCGTATATTAGGGTCTATACGACGACTTGGACCTGCATAGGCAACTTTTGTCACAAGCTATTACAATATTCCAATGCGAAACTTGAAAAAAAAACTGTCTATAATGTAGCTAAAATCGTCAAAATACCGAATATAGGGAGGTACCATGGGGGTTATAAAACGTGGACCTGCCCAGACAATTTTCTTTCATAGGCTGTAGTATCCATTACGAACTTCAAATACAAAATTTGAAACAATTCCGCTAAATAATGTCGCTAAAATCATCAAACTACAAAATATCGGAGGTTCCGCTATATAGGGGGGCTAAACGAAGACGTGGACCTGCACAGACAATTTTCTGTCTTAGACTGAAGTATTCATTACGAACTTCAAACACCAATTCCGGTAAATAATGTCGCTAAAATCATCGAAATACCGAATATAGGGAGGTACCGTTATATGGGGGTTGTACGAAAACGTGGACCTGCACAGACAATTTTATGTCATAGGCTATAGTATTCATTACGAACTTCAAATACCAAATTTGAAATAGTTCCGGTAAAAAATGTCGCTAAAATCATCAAAATACCGAATATCGGGGGGTACTGTTGCATGGGGGCTATATGAAGACGTGGACCTACATGACCCATTTTCTGTTTTATGCTGGAGTATCTATAACAAACTTCAAATACCAAATGGAATGACAAACTTAATATACCCTGTGGAGGGTATAATAAAAATTGAAAGTTACTAAAGCTTGGCTACTGCATCACGAGCAACGACATACATACGCCTTTCACAAGGCCCCGTCCGTCCGTCTGTCTGGCTGGCTGGCTGGTGCGCACGATAACTCTCGAAGGGAGTATCCTTTTTGGATCGAAATTTGGGACGTTGTAATATTATTGTCAAACTTAGATCGAGTTCGGAGATGGGCAATTTCGACCACTCCTCTATTTCAGAGAAAATAATTTACTGCACAGAAAGAGAAAGGATAACCCGATTATGCTCCAACTTTGAATATCCTAATATTTGCATCAGTTCTCCCCCACAAATGGTGAACAATTTTCAATAATTATAACTCTTATAAAATAAAAGATATAAGAGTCCGATTATCTTCAAATTACACACAGCACAATAATGCTAGATGAAGATGGAGTATATCGGTCCACTCTTTCTGGTACCTCCCCCACAAAGGGTCAAATAAATCCGAAATAAGCATGCCGTTCTCTTCATATTTCCCACATCCCATTATTTCTACTAACACAAGATCTGCTGTGAAGATGGGATATATGGGTCCGCTCTTTAAGGTACTTCTCTCTCTCTCTCAAAGGGTCAACATTTTGAATAATTATAACTCTTATGAAATGTGACGTAAGAGACCGATTGTCTTCAAATTTCACACATCACAATATTTTTATTAACCCAAGATCTGGTTCTAAAAATGGGGTAAATCGGTCCACTCTTTCTGGTACCTCCCCCACAAAAGGGTCAACACTTTCAATACCCATGAAGCTCATAAATCGCATAATTAACATCCGATTCCATTCAGATTTGGTACATCTTAATAATTCTGCCAGCACAAGATCTCTTATAAAGATGGTAAAGATCGAACATTTCTCCTGGTACCTCCTCCACAAAGGATTAACGTTTTGAATAACCAGAACGATTATAAAATCTGAAATAACCATCCGATTCTCTTCATATTTCACACATCTCATTATTTCTACTAACACTGACGATGATATATATGTATCTGCCTACCTCTTCTGGTACCTCACCCACAAAGGATCACAGTTTTCAAAACTTATATCTGTCATAACAAGACGGCGATTCTTTACAACTTGCTATATCTAAATATTTCTCTTTACCAGAAATCTGAGATGAATATTTAATTTATCGCAATTTATGATTTCGGATAAAATTGAATATAAATGTGTGATTTCCTTCAGATTTTCCACAAATTTTCACATATCTTATATAAAGTATAGGTAGAAGTAGATATAGTCCAAATCTGGCACGTTGTAATATTTTTATCAGTCTTAGGTCAGATATGAATTGGTCAATTTTGGCTAACTGCTTCGGAACCTCCCCTATAAAGTGTCAACAGTTAGAATAATCATAACTCAAGGCTGGGGCATGGTACACTGAAATAAAGGTAACTTCATTTCGAATTGGCATTCCCAGCTCTGCATTTTCTGCATTTACCTTGTCAAATTTTACTGTACCTTCTTAGTTCTACTATGATTGGGGTATACCCCCAGATAAAAAAAACTGCAACAAACTCAAACGCCATAATTTTTACATTTTTTTTTTAAATATTATTGAACGAAAGCAAAAATTGTCGGAAATAGTATCAAATTTTAGAAAAAGTTTAAATTTGTTCGAATTGGTAACCTTTCGC